GATGTTCCTTAAAATATACTTTTTAAGAAGCTGATCCAAACACCAAGGTTCCACATTTCTATCTAATCAAGGACCTGGTTACGCTCCCAGGATCGTGTTCGCAGCAGCAGAAAGGTGTTCTGTGTTTAGACGAGTGTCAGTAGAGGAATAACAAGTACCCGCTTCCTTCCAATCATGTGTGTCCAGGAGATGGGGTCGTGAAGCTCATAGATTCTGTGTAGTTTAGACTGAGTTTGTGTCTGATGTTTCCATAGGTCAAAAGTCGACCAGATTCAAGAGATCGTGACGGGAAACCCTACCGTTATTAAGATGGTTGTCAGTTTCAACCGCGGCGCCCGGGGTCAGAATGCCCTGCGGCAGATCTTGGCCCCGGTCGTGAAGGAGATTATGGACGACAAATCCCTCAACATCAAAACCGACCCCGTGGATATCTACAAGTCGTGGGTTAACCAGATGGAGTCTCAGACAGGAGAGGCAAGGTGTGGAGCCCCGGCACCCTTTCCTGTCCTGTGTTTCATTCTCTCTCTCTCTCTAAGCAGTTGACCTTTGATTTACAAGCTAATCATTGTTCAAATAGTTTTTCCTTAGAAACCTCTTTATTAAATTGTTGACCAGGTAACATGTTCATTTATTTAGTAGGTATTTACTGAGTTCTTACGAAGGGCTCTCCCTGGCTTCCAGGAAAGTCCAGATGTCTTACCATTACATGCAGGGCCCTGCGTGACCAGGCCCTGCTTACTTCCCCGCCCTCATTTCTCCTCTTCCTTTTCTTTGCATTTGATCTTCCTTCCTAGAAGACCCTTCTTCCTTTTTCCCGAGCCCCTTCCTCCTGGAAGCCCTCCTTGATTACCCCGTCTGAGTAGAAGCCCCTCTGGCCCCGCAGCACTATGGTCGGCTTCTTACTTATAGCACAATATGTTTTGTGTGGTTTTTTTTCTTTTTTTGTTTTGTTTTTACAATATACAAAATAAATCCATTACCAGATTGTAGATACAAAATAAGTAGCCATTTACACAGCACAATATGTTTTAAATAAATGCCCGTTTGTCTCTCCCACCAGGTAGTTAGAGAAGCTATCATGTCCCATACACCATTCATCCCAAGTGCCTATCATGGTGCCGGGCACATAATTCAAGGCCCCCAATTCACAGTTGAAAACCTGAGTTCAGATCCCGGCCCCATCATTTACCAGGTCATTGAACACGAGCAAGTTGCCTAGTCTCTCTGGGTCTTTCTGTTCATGAAATGCGTGGCCCTGCCTCCGGCCCTGCCTGGCTTCTGGTCTAACCCTATTGGGGGTAATTTCTGCTTTCCCAGCAAACTCCCCTATGACGTGACTCCCGAGCAGGCTCTGGCTCACGAAGAGGTCAAGACACGTCTCGACAACTCCATCAGGAACATGCGGGCCGTGACAGACAAGTTCCTCTCCGCCATCATTTGTTCCGTGGACAAGATCCCGTGAGTGCCTTCCGTCATCGTGACCCCAGACAGAGCCCAGCGTGAGTGCCCTCCTGCTCCCCGGCCCCTCTCACGCGTTGTGTCCGTCTCACAGCTACGGGATGCGCTTCATCGCCAAAGTGCTGAAGGACTCGCTACACGAGAAGTTCCCCGATGCTGGTGAGGATGAGCTGCTGAAGGTAAGACTCGGGAAGGGGAAGCTGGCGCAGCCCCGCCCTTCCATGCCTTTGAGGAAGCAGTGATATGAGGGCTGACCACAGACCGTTAGTGAGAGCCTGAATTTTAGCAGTAGCGCGCCACGGATTGTGATTGTAAATAGTCAACGACACCTCTTTGAGTTTCTATAGCGTTCGAATGGCCCGCCTCAATTAAGTCCAGTTGGATGCTTCTGTCTTGAGATAAATTTCTGAGTCCTATCTTTTCGCTGGAAAATAGCTCCCTCTGCTGGTGGCCAGGTGAACGGGACCAAGCACAACTGTTTCTGCTGAGGCTGTGGCTGGTAACGCTGACTGCCTAATGCTCCTTTCTTTCCTTCTTTTTTTTAACCTGGACGCTTTTTTCTTCTCTCTCCTAGTTCTTGTGCTTTCCTACAGTGAGGCCTCGCTTCTAGGCTTTCTGTTCAGGTGAATTAATTTTGTACTTTTGAATGATGGCTCTCGGGGAAATGCCGTGACTGTCCTTGAATTCTTCTGCGGAAGAGCTTGTGTCGAGTGACTTTCATTTCCGAGGCATGAACTTGTCTACCTGTGACGTCTCTCCCGCATGAGCACGATGGGGGTCGGACAGGTCGCTCTGTGCTAACGAGGTCCTGTTTAAGGATTTATCTTAACTGCCTTTGTTAGCCTCTCCGAATCAAAGTCCGCCCACGTGGAAGCGAAAGGTGCGCGTGGGTGGCAGCCGTATTTGCTGCCATCATGTGGGAGCGCAGGATGCCCTGCAGCGCTCGGTCACAGACGTGAAGTCTGTCACTTCCCCCCGAATCTGCCCTTTCCATTGTAATGCTTTTCAGTTCTGTCTCATTTTCTTTTGCTCTGCGCCCAAACAAGGGACGTTGGGCCCCGTCGGGGTCAGACCTTGAGAGCAGGCGCGTGTGCATGCGTGCATGCGTGTCCATGTGTGTGTAGCGCGCATTTCCCCTCACAGGACTGCGTGTTCTGGTTCCCTTTGCTAATAGAGTCCTTTGTGGCTTCCTCGGTGGAGCGGCTTTTAACACCCATTTTTCTTGGTTGTCTGTCCCCAGATCATTGGTAACCTGCTGTACTACCGATACATGAATCCAGCCATTGTTGCCCCGGATGCCTTCGACATCATCGACCTGTCGGCCGGAGGCCAGCTCACCACCGACCAGCGCCGCAACCTCGGCTCCATCGCCAAGATGCTCCAGCACGCGGCTTCCAACAAGATGTTCCTGGGAGATAACGCCCACTTAAGCATCATTAACGAGTACCTCTCCCAGTCCTACCAGAAATTCAGGTAAGGGGCAGGGGACTGGGTACTTGAAAGACTCTGCAGGTGTGTGTCTCTCTCTGAAGGTAAAGACAAGACTAACAACCACACCTGGTTCTCCCTGGGCGGCCACATTGTGGGACGCGTGTTGGATGTGCCCAGAGCTCCAGGGCGAGAGAGGATTTCTGAGCTAAAAAATGTGTACCTGCCCCGGCTGGTTTGGCTCAGTAGATAGAGCGTCAGCCTGTGGAGTGAAGGGTCCCGGGTTCGATTCCGGTTAACGGCACATGCCTGGGTTGTGGGCTTGATCCCCAGTGTGGGGCATACAGGAGGCAGCCAATCAATGAATCTCTCTCATCATTGATGTTTCTATCTCTCTCTCCCTTCCTCTCTGAAATCAATTAAAAAAATATATATAGTAAGAATGTGTACCTGTGGAATTGTAACCAGAGGAGAGTTGGAGAATACTTTTTTTTTTTAGTCACTGCACTCTTTTTCTTTTCAATTGTCTCTTCTTTAAAAAAAAAAAATTTTTTTTTTATTGATTTCAGAGAAAAAGGGAGAGGGAGAGAGAGAAATATCAGTGATGAGAGAGAATCATGGATCTTACTGGGGATCGAGCCTAAAACCCTGGCATGTGCCCTGACCTCTCAGTGCATGGGATGAGACTCAACCAACTGAGCAACACTGGCCAGGGCTACTGTGACATATTTTATTAAATGAAAAGTGGAA